TGTTTGCGCGTCTTTGGTGCGATAGGTGAGCCAGCTAGTGAGGATAGACTAGACGTTGATTTTGTTCAGAATTGTACTTTCTATCTTAGGCAATGAAGGGCTAGATGCTGAGATGCTGTCATGCCGACCTTCCTCGTCTTCACACTATCATGCACATGCAAGAAAGTTTATAGAAGAATGTATATATATATATATTTATATACAAGGCGGAGCTAGGATTCGAAGTTGGGGGGGCCGGATTTTTTTTATTCTACTACTTCGAAAAGAGCGATAAAAATTAAGGAAAAAATATTTTTAATATTATTATAACTAGCATTTTAGATGATTAGAGTTACTCAAAATAGGATCAATACTACAACTTATTTTGTATAGACAAACTCAAAAAGGTGAATACGTCGTATCCATATGTTTTGTTTATGACTCCATTAATTTATGTGCTTCTAAAATTAGTAGTGATTTACCGGTTGCAGTTGAAATTGCATAAAATGCATTTCATCTTTGAGTTAAGGACGAAGACAGAATTTGACGTTCTGAAGGGGAATTTATTTTGTTACTGCGAAAAGATAATAAAATTAAGCAAAAACAATAATCAAAATAAATTTTTAATATCATCATAGCATCAATTTGAATCCATATAAAACTTAATATTGAAAATAAAAGAGTTAAGAAACCAAATTGAAATTATAGAATTGAGAATCCATAAAATAAAAGTTAATGAGAGATTAAAACTAAAATTAAAATATGACACCTCTGGGTTAAAATAAAAGTTAATGAGAGATTAAAACTAAAATTAAAATCCATAAAATAAAAGTTAATGAGAGATTCAAACTAAAATTAAAATATGACACCTCTTGGTTTCGAACCCATATGCTGATGGATGCAATAGATGGATTCCTGCCACTAGGCCAGTTTGCTTTCCTGTGCAATAATGCACATTAAATCATCTTATACAAAGTCATCAGCTTATACGAAATTTTCAAATACCGATATAGTTTATACGTAAGTTCTGAAATTCTCGGGGGGGCCGGGGCCCCCCGAGCCTATGTGTAGCTCCGCCCCTGTATATATATATATATATTAGGCATTATAATGATATGGAAAGGTCAACTATTAGTGTTCACATCTAGAAAAGATAATGTCAACTGCAGCTTTAGACTTCAGAGTGAACCTATGACAGCCAGCTCCCAACTTGATCTGAAAGATCAATTTTCGGCTGCCGGCCAGCACGTGTCCTGATAGCTGTTCCTGCTCTCACCTATTAACTCTGGGACTGTGAGATGAAAGAACTGTAAATTAATGACCTTGAGGTCAACGATGAATGAGTTTTAGTTTTCTTAATATGGCGCCCGGAACCTAAATCACTCTGCAATTCTTTTTCTATGGCTTCTGATGAGTAAATCGAGTGACTTCAACAGCTATTCCTGCAGGTCCTCCTAATGGAAACCGGCCGGTGACTGACTGGGTTCCATGATTCGTGAAACGAAAGGGCGGACAAAGGTCCACGTTTTGACCCTTCTCTTGTATTCTCCGTCATCATCATTATCATCGACAAAAACCCAAAAGGCGGCGTCTTGGAATCAGATTCGTTCCATGGAACTTTCTCATCGCCTCCTTCTCCCGCCATTTTTCTTCTTCTTCCTTGTCCTCTTTCGTCCCGCTGCTGCCGCTTCAAATGATACAGTGACACCATCACAACCGCTTAGAGACGGCGACGTTTTGGTCTCCAAAACCGGCACATTCGCGATCGGATTCTTCTCCCCCGGTCGATCTACCAATAGATACCTCGGCATTTGGTTCCATCAAATCCGCCAGCAATCCGTCGTCTGGGTAGCCAACCGTAATCACCCAATCGCTGCCGGCGATTACGGAATCCTCTCAATCGACGGCACCGGCAACCTTGTCCTCCATTCACAAAATCGAACTTCGATTTGGTCAACCAACGTTTCGGCGAAGTTCGATTCCCCGCGCTTCGCGCGGATTTCAGATTCAGGGAATTTCGCGCTTTTCAATTTGACGGCGGTTCTGTGGCAGAGCGTGGATTACCCGACGAACACATTCCTACCGGGATCGAAGCTCGGGTTGGATCGGAAATCGGGTCTGGATCGGTTCATAACCTCGTGGAGATCCGACGACGACCCAGCAACAGGCGAATTCTCGTTTCGGGTCAACCCGAACGGCGCCCCGCAAGTCTTCCACTACCGAGGCGAAGGAAGAAAAACCCCTTATGCCAGAAGCTTTCCCTGGCCATGGAAAAGCTTCCCCGACCTTTTCAACGCCTCGTTCATCAACAACGAAGACGAGGTCTATTTCTCCATCTTCTTGGCCGAAGAAGATTCTTTTCTCTTATGGGTAGCTATGTATCCGAATGGAGTCTTGCGTCAGAAGATCTGGGCACAGGGTTACGAGGATTGGAAGGAGTATTGGGCGACGCCGACGCAGAAATGTGATTCCTATGGGCGCTGCGGCCCCAATGGTGTGTGCGATCCTGGTAATGGCAACGCTTTCGAGTGTTCTTGCTTGCCTGGATATGAACCCAAGTCAATGAGAAGCTGGCGATCGTTTGATGGGTCTGGCGGGTGCGTGAAGAAGGGATCGGGAAATTCGGATGGGTTTTGTGGGCTGGGAGAAGGGTTCGTGAGAATGCTCAAGATAAAGGTTCCTGATACTTCAGAAGCCGTTTGGATTGATAGGCGTGTTGGCGGCAGTGAAGTGAGCTGTGAGCATGAGTGCAGGAGAAACTGTTCTTGTTCTGCCTTTGCTGATATGGATGGTGCTGGGAATGAGAGTGTTTGCATGTTATGGTACGGAGACTTGATGGATGCAATGTATTTCCCTGCTACGTCCCAGGATTTGTATGTTCGAGTTGATGCAACTGAATTTGGTAAGTTATAGTGTGGTGCTTTGTATCAGCCGATTCTAGATATGATTTTGGAGGCTGGAGGATCAAAAGATTGGATCTTTACATCGTTTCTAGCTTCTGATGTTTTATCTTTCCTGCAGCTTATTATCAGGCTGGGTCAAAAGCCTCTGCTGAGCTGAGGTTGAAGTTGAGCATTGTCCTGCCAGCTGTTGCTTCAACAGGGCTTGTCCTTGTTGCTTTTTGCTTGTTTTGGCTCAAGAGATGGCGAAACAGGACTGGTATAAATTAAGTTACCATGTCTATTGTTAGTTTCTGACTCTGAATGAAGGTTTTGGTCTAATGTCTGTCCTAAAGATTATCTTTTTTGTTATGGTTTAAGGACAGCAAAGAGGAGAAGGATCAGAAATTTGTTCCATCCAAATGATGGTTCAACTCGATCCGTGGTTTCTGTGATGACAGAGGAAACGGATGGAAGCTCAGTGTCTCCAGAGCTGCCATTTTTCAGCATCAGCACCGTTCGAGCTGCTACCAACAATTTCTCTTTCGCTAACAAGCTTGGACGGGGAGGGTTTGGCTTAGTGTACAAGGTAATGGAGCAGAAGAAACTTGCGTTATACAACTTGAAATGTGCTGGAAATAAAATTAGAATTGGGGTAGTTTTGATTTTTGACTAACTAGTAACTACAAGTAGAAGAAATGGGATTACTGGCGGTGTCTGTAACAGTTGAGCAGAGCACTTTTTTCCATATTTCAGGGGAGACTACCTAGTGGGCAAGAGGTTGCTGTGAAAAGGCTCAGTGTAACTTCTGGGCAAGGACTGGAACAGTTCAGGAATGAAGCATTGTTGATTGGAAAGCTCCAGCATAGGAACCTTGTCAAGCTCTATGGATGCTGCGTTGAGGAAGAAGAAAAAATTCTGGTTTATGAGTACTTGCCTAACAAAAGTTTGAACCGTTTTATTTTCGGTAGGCTGTCCTTCTATAAAATTGCTTACAGTTCTTTGTTTCTCCATTAACTCTCTAATGCAAATGATGGGTTTGTTTCGTTTCGTAAGATCAAATTGGAGGAGCAACATTAGATTGGACAATACGTTTCAATATCATAATTGGTGTTGCACGTGGAATCTTGTATCTTCATCAGGATTCGAGGTTCAGAATCATCCACCGGGACTTGAAAACCAGCAACATTCTCCTAGATGCAGAGCTTAACCCCAAAATCTCAGATTTCGGCTTAGCTATGGTTCTTGAAACCGGCCAATATCGTGGGAAGGTAGCCAAGATTGCAGGAACTTTGTGAGCATTCTGAGTCACTATGCACCCTCTGTAAGCGAAAATCAGTTTGCTTCCCAACTTGTTGTAATTATAATGTCTGGGATTTATCTTATTTGTGCAGTGGTTACATGTCCCCAGAGTATGCAACGCTTGGCATATATTCAGAAAAATCCGACGTCTTCAGTTTTGGGGTCATATTGATCGAAATGGTTACCGGCATGAAGGTCAATAAACTAATGGAAGGAGCTGAAAACAAGAGCTTGATAAGCACCGTAAGTGTTCATGTGACTTTCAGCTTTCTTCTGATGCATCGAGTGATCAAGACTAATTGTTCTCTCAATAACGATACAGGTGTGGACGCTATGGCAGGAAGACAAAGCGATAGAGGTTGTTGATTCATCAATGGTGATGGGATCATACAATGCGGAGGAAGTATTGAGATGTTTCCAAATTGGCCTGTTATGCATGGAGGAAAATGCCGAGGATCGACCCAATATGCTGACAGTGGTTCTCATGTTGAACAGTGCGATGCCTCTTCCTCGTCCCAAACAGCCTGCATATGCCAGTGACGGAAGCTGCTCCAACCGCCAACCTACCAGATCATGTTCTATAAACGAGCTAACTTTGTCAGGAGTTGTTGCACGCTGATTCTTTGTGGCTGCAGTTGGGAAAACGCAGTCGATGTCCAGTTTTGCCTGACTTATGAATCTTCCCTGGTACGCAATGAGATGCCACTGCATTATCGTTGGCTCAGCTAAATTCTGAACCTTCTGTGCACGTGGTTGCTTTGATCTGATCCAATCCAAATCCAATCTCCCCTTGTTTTGCACTTGTTCCGTTAAGCTGCCAGTTTGTCGGCGAAGCGAAACATGTCTCCCAGGCCAAATCGAGAGGGCACGAGGCTGTTCAGACATTGCGTCGAGCTGTTCAAGTGCACGATGAAGGCTGTAATCCATGGTCCGTTTCAGATTTGATTTCCGGGTCGCCTGTATGAGAAGGAGCGGGAAAGAAAAGTGTTCAAGATTGCGCGCGAATATATGAACTGGCTTGGTGTAGGGCCTAGAGTGGAAAAGTCTTGTGCCCATTAGTTGTCATCATGGTCATCACCATCGGTATAACCGGTATGATCGACTTATGCATTTTAAGTAAAATGATATCATTTTAATGAATTTAATGAATACAAAAATTAATTTATTATTTATTTTATGTATGTAATAGTTAAAAGTCGATGATATTTATTGGATTGTAACTAAATTGTCCACAAATATGTTTTATATATGATTAAATACAATGAATATTAATTGTTTTCACATTTTTTTAAAACCGGTATGAATCAGCACAAACTGGTTATTCCACCGGTCGTACCATTCTACTTGCCAAACCGGCACAACGGTATAAACCGGTTTGACAACCTTGGTTGTCATGCTTCTCTTACCTTCCTCTCACCTTCCCCGTCGACCCGATGTAATGAATGCAAATAGCAAGCGAAGCTTACTGCTCGTGATGTGACTTGACAGGATAATGCAACGAAAGATTATGAACCGTAGACTTTGTAAAAGCCTAAAAGGGCAAAAGAGTTCCCAAAAAATCTCCCTGTCGTTCTTCTCTTCTTTCTTCGAAGCAGATCATTATGGACCTCGCTGAAGGATTAATCATTTCATTGCTTCTTCAGCTTACCATCTCTCTTCATCTCTGTTCTTCATCTACAGACACCTTGAATTTCAACGAATCCCTTGCAGACGGTCAAGTGCTAGTCTCCAATGGAGAAAGCTACACTCTTGGTTTCTTCAGCCCTGGGAATTCAAGCAATCGATACCTTGGAATTTGGTACACCAAAGTTTCGGTACAAACCGTGGTTTGGGTCGCGAACAGAGACAACCCGATCAACGATGCTTCCGGATCGCTCTTGATCGATACTCGAGGGGCCGTGGTTCTGCAACGGGCAAGGAGGAACTCTACTCCTCTGTGGTCTACGAATGTCTCTGCCGAAGGGAATTTTACGGCTAAGCTATTGGATGAAGGTAATTTTATCCTGGTTCGACCGGATGGGAAGACGGTTATATGGCAGAGCTTTGATCACCTAACGGACACCATCTTCCCGAACATGAAGTTCGGGTTGGACCGCAGAACGGGACTGAACAGATCGATTCGGTCGTGGAAGTCGCCCGACGATCCTGCCATGGGAGATTGGTCCTACTACTTGGACCCGACCGGGGTGCCTCAGATGATCCTGCAAAACGGTCGGACCAAACGGGTGAGGTTCGGACCATGGAACGGCATCCGCTGGAATGGGGTTCACGAGACATCCACTACTTTCAAGTTCAACACAATTGTTGTAGACGTGGATAGCGAGACGACGGTGGTTTGGAAGATCCAAAACCCGGCAGTCATATCGAGGATGTACGTGGACTCGTCGGGGTTCACGAAACTCGCCACGTGGCAAGATCAGGATCGTCGGTGGATCGATTTCGGGTCCGCTCCAAAGGACCCGTGTGATTACTATGGACGATGTGGGCCGAACGGGAACTGTGACCCTTTCAATGCAGGGGAGCTGGAGTGCAGGTGCCTCCCCGGGTTCCAACCGAAGGAACCGGACAGCTGGTACGTAAGGGATGGTTCGGGTGGGTGCGTCAGGAAACGGTCAGGAAATTCGACTTGTGGTAATGGCGAAGGATTCATGACGTTGAAAAATGCTAAAATTCCTGATACATCGTTTGGGCGATTGAACGATGGTGTGGATTTGGATATGTGTGAACGGGAATGCTTGATGAACTGTTCTTGTATGGCTTACGCGAGTTCTAATTTGACGAGTGGACTCGGGTGCGTTACATTCTACGGGGATTTGATGGATACCAGAGTGTTTGCTGATGGTGGTCAGGACTTGTACGTGCGAGTGGATGCAATCGAGTTGGGTACGTAAATAAATTTTGACCTCAAAGTTCTACTCAGCTTGTTTCCCTTCACATTATATTGAAGAGGATGTAACAATGAATTGTGATTCAGCTGAATACATGAGAAGGTCGAAAGGGCATAAAAGAAAGAAGCTGTTAGTGATAGTTTTGACCACCACCATTGGTGCGGCCATTGTTTTGGTGATTTCACTTGCGTACTGTCGGCTGAGAAGGAAGACAAAAGGAAAAGGTAAGCAAAAATGGTTATTTGCACAATGACTCGAACTGTTGGGAGGTGCTAATGTTAAATGTGGCAGGAATTAAAGGAGACACCAATCATATTACCCTTGGAACAGAGTATGACGATGAGAAAGAAAATTTGTACGAAGACAAGGAATCCCACGTACAAATTTTTGACGTAAATGACATATTTGCAGCAACAGAACAATTTTCTTTAGCCAACAAGCTTGGACAAGGCGGCTTTGGGTCTGTGTACAAGGTACAATGTAGTAGTATTGTATCTACAATTAAAACAAGCATGTATAGTCCACATGAAGGTAAAATGTTGGTTTTTGGCTAGGGTTTGCTATCCGATGGGCGAGAAGTAGCTGTGAAAAGATTGTCACGAACTTCGAGGCAAGGAGTCCACGAGTTCAAGAATGAAGTGAGACTAGTGTCCAAACTTCAGCACAAGAATCTTGCAAGGCTTCTTGGTTGTTGCATTCATGGAGAGGAGAAGATGTTGGTCTATGAGTACTTGCCAAACAAAAGTTTAGACTTCTTCATTTTTGGTTAGCATTCTTTCATTTGTTTATGTTCATTTTAGATTCATCATGCTAGAAGTTTGAAGTTAAGACCAATTTAGATGAGATATTCTTTGTCATGTTGTGACAATATATGTTGGGTGAAATTGCATGTTCTTAATCCAGATAAAACAAAAGGCTTGTTATTGGATTGGAAGAAGCGGTTTGATATCATTATCGGAATTGCTAGGGGTTTGATGTACCTACACCAAGATTCCAGGTTGAAGATTATCCACAGAGATCTAAAGCCTAGCAATATTCTACTTGATGCCGCAATGAACCCCAAAATTTCGGACTTTGGGATGGCTAGGTTGTTTGGAGAAGATCAAACAGAAGCCAATACCATTAGAGTTGTTGGAACATAGTAAGACTAGTCATTGAGAATGTCAATCTCTAAAAAACTTTTTGAAATACTAAATGCTTTTTTGTTTGTGTATTGCAGTGGATACATGTCGCCAGAATACGCGATGAAAGGTCTATATTCAGCGAAATCAGATGTCTTCAGCTTTGGTATATTAATGCTTGAGATTGTTAGTGGCATGAGAAGCAACCACTCTTACCAAGAAAGTAAATCATTCAGCTTGATTGATCATGTAAGTAATTTGGTTTAATGTCACACCAACCTGGTATCTGGTACGTAGTAATTACTCTTTGGTCGGGTTTGAATCCTATTAAAGGCATGGATTTTGTGTGGATTCTAGGTGTGGGACTTATGGAGAGAAGGAAGAGCATTGGAGATAGTGGATTCATCCAACATGGGGGAATCGTTCTCCGAAGATCAAGTGACGAGGTGTATTCATATAGGTCTTTTATGCGTTCAAGAATCGCCAGCAGATCGACCAACAATGTCAAACATTGTCTTCATGCTGGGTAATGCAACAAGTCTTCCATCTCCCAAGAAGCCATCATTCATCATTCAAAGCAAACATGATGATTGGGATTCACAAGCTTCTGCTAGATCTAAAATTCCTTCCATTAATCGTGTGTCAATAACGACAATGGAAGCGCGGTAAGGCAAACGGAGTGAAAAACTCCTAAGGAGGCAAATGATCTAATGTTTTTCTTTCTTTTTACGAGATATGGATATTTTTAAGTTTATGAACTCACATTTATTATTGCTAATGGCTAGATTGGAAATTAATTGCAATTGTGGGTTATATTTGACGTTGTTTAGGTCCTCAATTTCTTTCTTTTTGGTTAGGTTTCTTTTTTTTTAAGTTTGCATTTGTGTTAAAGTGAATTTCTAATAAAACATCATTCATAAAAAATAAAATAAAAACTCAGAGATAGAGTCAACTGTTGGGTTAATATCTTCATATTACCTATATGACCTGAACTTTACCTTTTTTAACATTCTGCCAATCATTTCATTAATTAACATCATGGTTCAAATTTTTATCAAAATTTAATTATCTAGCCTAAGACGAGTGTTGACCGTTATATTTGACGGTAAAAATCATTGACTAACAACCAACCCGTCATGTCATTGCCTAGTCGGCAATAACCTAATGGAAAAATTCCCAATTCCCACAAATTTACCATTTTATGGATTTTCCTAAATTTTGTTTATTTTATGGATGAAAATTATTTTTAATATTTGTTTATGATGATATAACAATGACATGGTTTGTCGACCGTTAGTTAACGATGTTCACCGACAAACTTATCGATTAACCCTTGGGTTGAGCCAAATGAGTCTTTATGGGTATTACATTTATGAAATATATTAACCATATTAATATGTTAAAAAAAATATATCAAAGTAAATATCATTTTCTAAATATATCAAAGCTTAAAATCCAAACTGAAACTTTATATAATTTGTTAAAAGTAAAAGAAAAGTAAGTGATTTATACAATGATATCCGTTCATTCATACTCAACTACTCAAGATCTTCAACCCACGCACCCAAAAAAAAAATGTTGATTGAAGACTCGATACTATAACTCTTGCTTTGAAAATTCAGCTGTGTCAGTTGTCAAACAAAGGAAAGCAACTAAACAAGCAGTGGAAAAAAATGTCTCACTTATTTGATTATCACCTCTTTGACATGAATGAAAGGCTACCACTCGGCCACCAGTTGCTTAGCACAAAGGACAATGAAACCAGACTTCAGACTTTTCCTTGTTTATCCTTTTCATAAATCAACGGCTTCTAATAATTTGAGTTGTTGAGATATATTGATATATAATAATTAATTATTTTTTCACGCTCACTCAAATAAAAGCCAATTAATAAAGTTAAAAATTGCACATGTTCATTGTACCACGTGATTTAAAGACCTCAGTTAATATTAAGTGTCATGGAGGATTTGAACACGTGACATCTGTTAGAGTGTGGTATAAGATCCAACATAACCTTCTTCCAATAACTTGAGTTATTGGGAGTTTGGGACCAACTGGTTTATGAGTATCAAAGATGTCTGTGGATTCGAATCTACACAACCCCCAATATTAACAGTTTACTAAATTACAAGATATATGGTCGGCCTCTGCAAATTTCAAACTCATTGGTTGGCTTTCGTTTGAGGGAGCGTGTGCGAAAAATATGTCAAATCATTTCCACTAAAAAAAATATATGTCAAACAGAACTTTAGACTTGTGAATACAACGCCAAAATATATCTCTTATTTTTTTTTCCCCCTGCAGATTATGGACCTCATCATCATTTTGCTTCTTCAACTGACAATCTCCCTTCAACTCTGCTCATCATCTAAAGACGCCATAAGCTTCAACGAATCTCTTGCAGATGGTCAGGTACTAATCTCGAATGGAGAGAGGTACACCCTCGGCTTCTTCAGCCCCGGGAGTTCAAGCAATCGCTACCTCGGAATTTGGTACACCAAGGTCTCGGTTCAAACCGTGGTTTGGGTCGCCAACAGAGACGATCCGATCAACGATACTTCCGGATCGCTCCTGCTCGACCCTCGAGGCGATATCGTTCTGCGACGACGGGGACGATCGCATTCCGCTCGTGTATGGTCTGCTAACGTCACCGCCGGCGAGAATTCGGCTGCCAAGCTCCTAGACGATGGCAATTTCGTCCTGATCTGTTCGGATGGTAACAAGACGGTTGCGTGGCAGAGCTTTGATCACCTGACGGACACGATCTTCCAAATATGAAATTTGGCATGGACCGCAGAACCGGACCGAATCATCTCTCGATTCGGTCCTGGAAGTCCTCCGACGATCCTGCGTCGGGGGACTGGTCTTTCGACTGGGACCCGAACGGGGTGCCTCAGATGATGCTGCACAACGACCGCCGGATCAAACGATGGCGGTACGTACCGCGGAACAGGGACACAATCCGCGACGCGATCATCACCTCCAACTTCTACTCCACCTACTTGAGCAACAACAATCACTCTGTTTTCACTTGGGGGATTTTGAATCCGGCCATGGTGTCGAGGATGTCCGTGGATTCATCAGGACATTTGTACCTTGGCAAGTGGCAAGATCAGGACAATCGGTGGATTGAGTTCAATTCCGCCCCGAAGGAACCGTGCGACTACTACGGGCGTTGCGGACCGAACGGGAACTGTGACCCTTACACCGAGCCGGTGTTGTTGTGCCTCTGCCTCCCCGGGTTCGAACCCCGGTTTCGTGACCAGTGGTTCACGAAAGACGGGTCGGGAGGGTGCGTCAGGTCGCGAAACGCGACCTGCACGAGCGGCGAAGGGTTCGTGAAGCTAGAGAATGTGAAGATTCCCGACACGGGGGCAGGGCGGTTGAATGTCGGTATGGATCTGAAGGCGTGCGCGCAGGAGTGTCTGGGTAACTGTTCCTGCACGGCTTACACGAGTTCTAATTTGACCAGTGGGTCGCCTGGGTGCGTGACGATGTATGGAGATTTGATGGATACGAGAGTGCTCAATGACGGTGGGCAGGACTTGTACGTACGAGTGGACGCAATCGAGTTAGGTATGTCAAATGTTGAGTACTCTTGTATAAAGATTTAAGCTAGAAGGTTTATTCAATATTGAGATTTGGAGATGTGCATAAATCTCCTATTGCTAATTGCTATTATCAGCTGAATATATGAGAAGGACGAAAGGACACAAGGGGAAGAAGGAAGTGTTCGTGATTGTTGTGATGTCTTTGGGCGCGGCCATCATTGCGGGGATTTCCATTGCTTATTGCGTGCTAAACTCCAAAAGAAAAGGTAAAAAAACTCGTAGTGAGCTTATTATCTTAGTGAAAATAATGTTAAAAAAAAAATTAATTTCAATAACTAGAAAGAAAGTCAACGCATAATCTTGAAATTTATACAAACTCATGTTATTTTGTGTTAAATTAGTTGTTAGGATTATTAGGCTCATGCCCATATAATTCTACTTTAACTTCCAATATCATTATGTCAAATATCAAAATTGGTCTAATAATAATATCACTGGTCTCAAATCTATAAATCTCCGAATTCGAATCTTTTAAGTAACACTTAACTAAAAATAAAGTATATATCACTTTTATAAAAAACGATTAATCATGTTTCTACTAAATTCTCATCTCATTGACTCCTTGTTCTTCCCTGATTCTCTTAATTCTTCCTCTTGTCAATCAATCCTTCATCAAATTGGTTCAAAATAACCCCATTTCTTGTTGTAGTTTTGTTCCCTCAATTGACCTAGTTCTCTTTTGTATTTCGTTCTTCCTATTTTGACTCTCTATTCTTTCCCAATTATCCTGTTTTCCCCCCTTCCCCGATACTCTAATGGAGGTTCTAGGTTGGAATCAACCCTTACACCAAAAGGTTTCTCTTGATGACACCCTTTTCACATAAGAAAGAAGGCATAATCTTATTAGCTGGTTCAACAGTTAAGTCTTGTGGAAATAACTTACACAATTTGGGGAGTATGTGATGCAGGAACCAAAGGAGTCACCAATCATATTAGCCTGGGAATAAAGTATGACGTTCAAAAGGAAAACGATCTCGACGAAGAGAGCGATTCCTTTGTACCAGTTTTTGATGTAAATGACATATTTGTCGCCACAAATAATTTTTCTTTGGACAACAAGCTTGGACAAGGTGGTTTCGGCTCTGTTTACAAGGTAAAAAAAAATGTCTGAAAAAACTCAAAAGTGTACATGGAAAGATATCTAAACCTTTTATTTATGACCCTTAATTTGGTCAGGGTTTGCTACCCAATGGGCAAGAAGTTGCTGTGAAAAGATTGTCTCAAACTTCAAGGCAAGGAATCCAGGAATTCAAGAATGAAGTTAGGCTAGTTTCTAAACTCCAGCACAAAAATCTTGCAAGGTTGTTTGGTTGCTGCATTCATGGAGAGGAGAAGATGTTGGTTTATGAGTATTTGCGAAACAAAAGCCTCGACTTCTTCATCTTTGGTACATTTTCTCATATTAGTTCAATCAAGTACAAATTTTCTCTTAGTGGCTGGTGTCCTTTTAGTAAGCTAATAACAATATGGGTTGCTTTGTGTTTTTTCTCCAGATAAAATAAAAGGCTTGTTATTGGATTGGAAGACTCGATTTGATATTGTGATCGGAATTGCTTGGGGTCTGCTGTATCTACATCGAGATTCAAGGTTGAAAATCATACATAGAGACCTTAAGCCTAGCAATGTTCTATTGGATGCTACAATGAACCCCAAAATTTCAGATTTTGGAATGGCTAGGTTATTCGGAGAGGATCAAACGGAGGCTAATACAAACATAGTGGTGGGAACATAGTAAGATAAATCATAAAAATGTTCATTGTCTTTTAGAATATTGGAAACATAAAGTGATTATATTTGTTTGACCGTGTGTTTAAATTTTGCAGCGGATACATGTCACCAGAATACGCAATGAGAGGTCTATACTCCATGAAATCTGATGTCTTCAGTTTTGGAGTACTAACACTTGAGATTGTCAGTGGTATGAGAAGCAACCATTGTTACGAAGAAAATCCATCATTGAGCTTGATCGGCCATGTAAGTCACATGAAAATCACCCAAATAGATTTTGACTGACTTGATAATAAATCGTTCTGAAATGTAAAACTAACTCATATCATGAGTTTGGACCATTCACTAGGTGTGGGATCTGTGGAGGGCAGGGCGAGCAATGGATATTGTGGATTCATCCATAGTCCAAGGATCATATTCTACCGATCAAGTGATGAGGTGCATTCAAATAGGGCTTTTATGTGTTCAAGAATCTTCAGAAGATCGGCCGACCATGTCGACTGTTGTCTTCTTGTTGAATAATGCAACCACTCTTCCATCTCCTCGGAAACCTGCATTCATACTGGCAAGACAAAACTATAATGCAGACTCATCGACAAATGCTACACATACAGTTTCTTCAATGAATAGTGCGTCATTTACCACTTTCGAGGGACGATAATGTATAAAATACATTCAATTGTGTACTTCAGAATTTTGGAATTTGGTTATGGTTCTAATGGAGGGCCTTTGTCAATATGTTAATTTAGTTTTACCTCTTTTCCTTTCACACTGTTTATTGGTGGTTCATAGGTTTACTTGGTTGCTTTTTTAATGAATCGCTATTTGCCGCCCGCAGTTTTACTATTTGCCGCCCGTAGTTAGAAGAAAAAAGACGATTTTGCCCTTAACCCTATCCCACCCTCAACCCATCTGCTGCCGCCCCCTTCAACCCTCCCTCCTCCTGTCGACCGCCCGCCGCCGACGACCCTCCTCCTGCCGGACCTCCCGCCGCCGCCAACTCCTCCCTCCTGCCAACCTCCTGCCGCCGACTCCTCCCTCCGCCGCCGCCGACTTCCTCGCTCACTCTCGCCGCCACCAACCTCCCAAGCTCGGAAGAGGGAATTTTTTTTATTTTTTTTTTCAGTCGCCGTCCGACTGGCCGGAGCGGACGCGGTCCGACTGGCCGGAGCGGACCCCGTCCGCCCGGTCTGGTCGGACCCCGTCCGCCCGGTCTGGTCGGACCCCGTCCGCCCGGTCTGGTCGGACCCCGTCCGCCCGGTCTGGTCGGACCCCGTCCGCCCGGTCTGGTCGGACCGATCTGATTGGGTTTATGATTTGGTTTGAATGGTTCGGTTCAAATAAATATTTATTAGATTTATTTTAAATACAATTGTTAGTATCTTAATTAGTTTAATATTGATAGTTGAATAATTAGTATATAATTGTTAATTTGACCACAATTGGTTAAGGGAATTAGGGTTTGACTTAATTAGGGTTTGACCCGAATTAGGGTTTGACTAAATTATATATTATTTGACCACGTTGAGGAAATTAGGGTTTGACTTAATTAGGGTTTCACCCGAATTAGGGTTTGACCTGAATTAAGGTTTGATTTAATTAGGATTTGGCCCGAATTAAGGTCTGATATAATTAGGGTTTGATTTAATTAGGGTTTGACCCGAATTAGGGTTTGACTAAATTATATATTATTTTGACCATAGTTGTTTGAGGGAATTAGGGTTTGACTTAATTAGGGTTTGATTCGAATTAGGGTTTGACCACAGTTGAAATAATCTCACCCAAGATGACGGATAACAACAATAAGAATCAACTCGACTCAACTCGACCAATAATGACAATAAAGAAGGAAAGCATCTCATCCACCTCCTATACCTTATACTCCTCTGAAACCCTAAACCCTCATTCCCCTTGAATAGCTACCTTCAACCTCGATCCATCCAATCCTACTAGGAAATTATTTTAGAGGCAAAATCATCTCTTCCTCCACTAACAATAATATTTCATCTCGTGGAAATATACGTGATAGGCTCAAGAAAATCCTAGTTACCACCCCCAGAGCCCTAAAAACACCTCGATGAAAGTTTTGGCACTATTCATCTCTTTTTGTCGGGAATGTCCGATTGATAAACAATCGATTCCAACACATTTGTATCCACATTTTAAGAGATCGATGAAAGTTTCAATATTTTTTCATGTCGGTGACTCTAGTAATTTGTAAAAGATGTTTTTGCCCGACCTTCCCCGAGCCGCAAAGAGCCCTCTTCGTGCCTCGATTCCTTGGAAGTTTTATAAAACATATTTTAGGTACGATGATCTTATTAAATATGAAATAAATACAATTAAAAAAAGGTTTAATCAAAATTTATAAATATTTTATAACTATTCTACATAATTAAAATGAATTATTCATAAGTTTATACAATATTTATGATAATTTATGATTAAATATCCATTTTCTTATACACTACTTCAGATCATTTGTAATTATTTAACATACTATAATTATTTAATTGCTATTATACTGAATTTATTTATTTTAGCTCTACTTACATAATTATAAAATAAGTATGAATTAGTTTGTACAATATTTTTTATAATTTAACTTTTTTTCTTATGAATAATTTTTAGTTTTTCTAATTCATAAATATAATTAATAAACATACATATAATTATTAGCATGATATAATATTAAAAAAAATAGAAGATTGAGTTAAATAATTATTATCATTTAGCGACGAATTTTGTGACGGTTTTGAAACCGTCGCTAATGCACGGTCCGCTCGCCGGCGTCGGACGGGGTCCTCCCGCCGGCGTCGGACGGGGTCCTCCCGCCGGCGTCGGACGGGGTCCTCCCGCCGGCGTCGGACGGGGTCCTCCCGCCGGCGTCGGACGGGGTCCTCCCGCCGGCGTCGGACGGGGTCCTCCCGCCGGCGTCGGACGGGGTCCTCCCGCCGGCGTCGGACGGGGTCCTCCCGCCGGCGTCGGACGGGGTCCTCCCGCCGGCGTCGGACGGGGTCCTCCCGCCGGCGTCGGACGGGGCCTCCCGCCGGCTGTGGTGATTTGGTTCTGGCCGCGGTAGTAATCTGGAGGTGGTGGCGACGTCGGCGATTTGGCGGCGGTGGTGGATTGGCGCCGGCGACAGTAGTGGTGGAATAGAGTTTGTTTTATAAAAAATGAACAAAGGGTAAAAATGTCATTTTAGTTTAATTTACGGGCGGCAAATAGTAATGAGACGGGCGGCAAATAGTAACCCTCCTTTTTTATCAGTGGAAGGACAAGGAATATAATCCTTGACATGATCACCTCCATGATATTTAGGTGTGAGATTTTTGTGAGCAATAGCCTTTGGGCTTTGCTTAAGGCTCTTCTTCATTCACGTTGCAAACCTTTGGGCTCTATTAAAACTAGCACCCAATTAAGTTGTGGGCCAAAGCCCACTCTTGCTATACGATATGAACCCAGCAGTCCAGGTTATCAATGAAAAGAAGTTGGAGGCGTTTAGACGCAGAGGAAGAAGAAGGACAACAACAACAAGCCGCTGCCGCTGCCGCCGTCTACCCTCAGTTTCCTCTCACCGGCAGCGACGACGGTGGTAATCCCGGCGACGACTATCAACATGTTATACGAAGTGGGCCTGGGCTCCGGTGGGCCCGTAACCATGATCTACGGCTGGTGGGCGGTGTTTGCTAGCTCTCCTTTGTGGAAACCAAGAGGAGCACGTTGTTGACCGGATCAGCCACCTTGATTCGACACCTGTAATAATAAACAAATTCACCGGACTGGTGTGAAATAAATAAAATTAAAGGCATCCGATTCTTTCTTTTGATAGCTGTTCTCCGAATCTTTTCCCATTCATTCACACTTCACAGCACACTCTTCAACAGCTCCCTCCTCCTCCTCCTCCAAACAAGCAAACATGGTCTCCGCCGGAGCCGACACCTCGCTTTTGCCATTTCACAACGACCCTGCAGCTGCAAATGGCGTCGGCGACGGTGAATTTCAAGATTCCGGCACCGCCCGTCTCAGGCAGCTCGGCTACAAACAAGAGCTCAAGCGGGACCTCTCGTAAACCCACCAATTTATACTTCCGTTTGTTCTTTTTAATTTCTTCTTTCCGCAAAATTTCACTTGGGCTCCTGTTTTCAATCCAACCTGCTTCCCTCTCCGATGCAGGATGTTCTCTAATTTCGCCTTCTCCTTCTCGATCATCTCGGTGCTCACCGGAGTAACCACTCTTTACAACACTGGGTTGACCTTCGGAGGGCCGGTCTCGTTGTTATATGGCTGGTTGATAGCCGGTTTGTTCACCATGTTTGTCGGGTCTGCAATGGGCGAAATTTGCTCTGCCTACCCGACTTCCGGTGGTCTCTACTACTGGAGCGCGAAGCTTGCCGGGCCTTCTTGGGCGCCTTTTGCCTCCTGGATCACTGGCTGGTATGCAAATCTTCATTCTTCAGGAAATTTACATAAGAACTTCTGCCACTCTAATTCATCAACTCTTAATGAAGTAGGAGACTAGACTATAAAGATTCAGGTGTGCATTTAGTTCAAATGTGGGTGTGCCTCTGGGGGCCTATTGTCGGATTGTACTGTTCTTGTTGCTGATTTAGGGTGGTGGGTTGCTGTTTGTTATGTCCTTCATGAGTGTCCTTGAATGTTTTTTTTGCTTGCCCATTTAAGAACTGCGACAATAGGTATGGCTCCCACCGATTCAATTAAGTAGATTGTTTCAATGGGGAAGACTTCGGTTTTTTTTTTTTTGTGTGCTTTCCTAATCTGGTTTCTTGTTTCATGGAAAACTTGTTTGGACTTTTAACTTAGTTTCTGGATTAGAAACATGATGACATGATTATGATTGTCCAAAAGGATCCTAATTCCTAACGATTAACAACAAAGTCGCCATCTTGGTCTTGACGTGAACAATGTTAGACAACTGACAAATGATTAGCAGCTAGCTAAATGACACTGCATCAGAAATTCAGAATTCAAAACTTGTTTTTTCCTGTTATCAATTGTTCTAATGCCAAGCACATTTTGCTTTGTTGTTGTTGTTGTTGTTGTTTGTCACTACCCTGCAGGTTCAACATTGTTGGCCAGGTCTGTGTGATCAACTCAGAGTTTTCATGTCAGAATTTGTAATAAGAATGTCATGAGCATGAGCTGTAACAATAATTCCACCATTTTTTGGTTTGTTGCAGTGGGCTGTAACGACGAGCGTGGACTTTTCCCTTGCACAAATGATTCAGGTGATCATTCTGCTGAGCACAGGTGGTCAAAATGGTGGTGGATATCAAGCATCCAAGTATGTAGTCATTGCATTGCATGGTGGCATCCTGTTCCTCCATGCTGTCATAAACAGTCTACCGATTTCCATGCTGTCCTTCTTCGGCCAGCTGGCTGCTATTTGGAACCTTCTCGGTGTTGTACTTCTGACGATACTCATCCCAACTGTTGCAACTGAAAGAGCGAGTGCTAAGTTTGTATTCACCCACTTCAATACTGATAACGGGGATGGAATCAACAACAAGCTTTACATCTTTGTTCTGGGGCTTCTGATGAGCCAGTACACCCTTACAGGATATGATGCGTCTGCTCACATGGTAATATATAATGTCCCTCTCTCTCGTGCGCGCTTTCGTTTTGATTGCTTCTTGGTATGGCAGCTCACTGACCAACAAATTGATTGTATAGACAGAGGAAACGAAGAATGCTGACAAGAATGGTCCAAAGGGAATAATAAGTTCCATAGGGATATCAGTCATATTTGGATGGTTGTACATACTTGGAATCACATTTGCTGTCACCGATATCCCTTCTCTTCTGAGTGAAAACAACGATGCTGGTGGCTATGCTATTGCCGAAATATTCTACCAAGCTTTCAGAAGAAGATATGGAAGTGGAGTTGGGGGAATCATATGCTTAGGGGTTGTTGCAGTTGCCATCTTCTTCTGTGGTATGAGTTCCGTAACTAGCAACTCTAGGATGGTTTATGCATTCTCTAGAGATGGAGCCATGCCATTCTCTCCGCTCTGGCACAAAGTCAACAATCAAGAAGTTCCCATCAATGCCGTTTGGTTATCTGTCGTCATATCCTTCTGCATGGCATTAACGGTTATAATGCTTTTCAATACATCTCTGTCAATGTCATTCCTATCTTGCTACTAATGGCGACAAGTTGATCATACTCTTGACTTAATAATGCAGTATCTCGGAAGCGAAGTGGCATTTCAAGCAATGGTGTCTATAGCAACCATCGGGCTCTACATTGCATACGCCTTGCCAATCTTCTTCAGGGTGACATTGGCTCGCAAGAGGTTTGTTCGGGGCCCATTCCACTTGGGACGGTATGGCCTCGTTGTTGGTTGGATCGCTGTGATCTGGGTCGTGACTATCTCGGTTCTGTTCTCTTTGCCGGTAGCCTACCCGATCACCATCGAGACACTCAACTACACACCAGTAGCGGTGGGGGGATTGTTTCTGCTGGTTGTTAGTGGATGGGTTTTCAGTGCCAGGAAGTGGTTTAGAGGTCCTGTGACCAATGTGAGTGTGACTGTATAGATAGATCAATTGAGGATTCTGCTATTTTTGGAGCAGTACAGGCAACATTGAATCATAGTAAAGACGTGGCACAGTTAGTTCTCGTTGTTCATAACTTCAATCTTGACAAGCAATCTGTCTGACAATTATCTATTTTTTTCTCGGGTTATGCTAAGTGGTCATAACCAACCTAATAGCGTAAATTAATCAATTCGGTTATGGTGCTCACATGCACACGGAGTACTTGGTCATGATTTGAATTTTAACTCCATCATTTTCAAGCCATAAAAATAGCAAAATTCCTCTAGATCCCAGAGTCAATCCAAGTGGCTTAGAAGATTCAAATGTACCTCACGAAGGAATGAACATGCTTGGAAAATATCTCCTTTGTCTGATTAATCATTATCTGTCTCCTCCATGAAAGGAAAGATCTTAAGTCTTTACCACTAGCTAGCGATGTGACATAAAAGACAATGCAACGTACGATGATTAGAAACCACATACTTGTGTTCTGAAAATAATAGTTAGTTCAATTAATGAAATGTCAAATATCTTCTTTTCCAACCCTTTGAATACTATTCAACGCTTAGAAATAATAAAGGCTCTGAATTTTTATCTGGGTTTCCTTTCTTCTCTGCAAATTCTTATGGATCTTGCAGAAAGAATACTCATCTCGTTGCTTCTGCAGCTTGTAATCTCTCTTCATCTCTGTTCTTCTTCATCCACAGACACCTTAAACCTCAACGAATCTCTTGCAGATGGTCAAGTGCTAGTCTCCAGTGGAGAAAGCTACACTCTTGGTTTCTTCAGCCCTGGGAATTCAAGCAATCGGTACCTTGGAATTTGGTACACCAAAGTTTCGGTTCAGACCGTTGTTTGGGTTGCCAACCGAGACGACCCGATCAACGATACTTCCGGGTTGCTCTCCTTTGACGGTCGAGGCGATGTCGTTTTGCAACGTGGGAGCAGGAATCAATCTGCTCCTCTATGGTCCACAGAAGTCTCTGCAGGAGGAATCTCGACAACTGCTAGGCTACTCGACGAAGGAAATTTCGTCCTGCTTCATTCCGACGGTAAGACGATTCTATGGCAGAGCTTTGATCATCTAACCGACTCGATCTTCCCGAACATGAAGTTCGGGTTAGACCTTACGACAGGACTGAACCGGTCGGTCCAGTCCTGGAAGTCCGCCGACGATCCTGGAACAGGGGAGTGGTCCTACGACGTCGTCCTGGCCGGGCTGCCTCAGCTGATCCTGCACAACGGTCGGACCATAAGACGTCGAATCGGACCGTGGAACGGCATCCAGTGGAACGGGGTCCCACACATGTTCATCATTGCTAACTACAACACCAGTGTGGTCAGTAGCAACAGTGAGACGACTTTCTCTTACGGGATCCGGAGCCCCGGGGACATATCGAGGATGTACCTGGACCCGTCGGGATTCGTGAAGATCACCACGTGGAACAATCGGACCGGTCGGTGGGTCGAGCTGGGGAGTTCCCCGACCGAACCGTGTGACTACTACGGACGTTGCGGGCCGAATGGGAACTGTGACCCTTACAGTAGTTCAGCTGGGGACCAAGAGTGCATCTGCCTTCCAGGGTTCGAGCCGAGGAACCCGGACGATTGGTTTTTCAGGGATGGCTCTGGAGGGTGTGTCAGGAAGCGACGGTCAGGAGAAAATTCGACGTGTGGGGATGGTGATGGTTTTGTGAAACTGGGGAGTGTTAAGATTCCAGATACGTCGACAGCGCGACTGAATGCCGACATGGACCTGACAGTGTGCGCACGAGAGTGTTTGATGAACTGTTCTTGTACGGCTTATGCGAGTTCGAATTTGTCTAGTGGAATTGGGTGCGTGACGATGTATGGGAATCTGATGGATACTCGAGTGTTTATCAATGGCGGGCAGGACTTGTACGTTCGAGTGGATGCAGTCGAGTTAGGTAAAAATTTTACTTATTTCCACATTCTACACCATTGTTTTGAATAGGATGTGTGATACCAAATTTGTTGAATGTGATTTTAGCTGAATACACGAAGAGGTCGACAGGAGACGCGAGGAAGAAGAAGCTATTAGCAATTGTTTTGAGCTCTGTAGGTGGAGGCATCGTTTTGGCGATTTCCATTCTGTATTGCCTGCTAAAGAGGAAAAGAAATGGTGGAGGGATACACAATACTAGCCCTGCAGGGGAGTATGAAGATGAAGAATCTCCTATACCAATTTTCGATGTGAATGAGATATTTTCTGCAACTGGAAATTTCTCTTTGGCCAACAAACTTGGTCAAGGCGGATTCGGCTCTGTTTATAAGGTATACAACTATACATTAGAACGGTCTTCGCTCATTAATGAATTTTACACCATTTTCTTGTAGTGAATATATTTATTTGTGATAGGGTTTGTTATCGGATGGACAAGAAATCGCTATTAAAAGATTGTCCCAAACCTCGAAACAAGGGATTCAGGAATTCAAGAATGAAGTACGGCTGGTGTCCGAGCTCCGACACAAGAATCTGGCAAGGCTATTTGGTTGTTGCATCCATGGAGATGAGAAGATGCTGATCTACGAGTACTTGCCAAACAGAAGCCTCGATTTCTTCATCTTTGGTTCATATTTTCTTCACCTCTTTCATTCTTTCCCATCTTTATGATCTTTCGGTTGTTTGATGCTTGTTAGTTATTGACACGAGAACTGAAGCTGGGTGCTTGTTTGATGCAGACAAAACAAAGAGCTTGATGTTGGACTGGAAGAAACGATTTGATATCATTATTGGAATTGCTCGTGGCATACTGTATTTACACCAAGATTCAACGTTGAAGATAATTCACAGGGATCTAAAACCTAGCAATGTTCTACTGGATGCTGCATTGAACCCTAAAATTTCAGATTTTGGGATGGCCAGGTTATTCGAAGAGGACCAAATGGAGGCCAACACAAACAGAGTCGTCGGAACCTAGTAAGAAAATAAGTTTTTATCAAGTCACGCTTCAAATAGCAAGGGAGAAGTTCTAATCTTTGATGCATGAAATGTTGCAGTGGATACATGTCGCCTGAGTATGCAATGGAAGGTCTATACTCGACAAAATCTGATGTTTTTAGCTTTGGAGTTTTGACACTTGAGATAGTGAGTAGCAGGAGGAGCAACAATTTTTGCCAAGAAAGTCCATCAGTAAGCTTGGTTGGTCATGTAAGTGATCTTTTCTTAACCTAAACAAAGTAAAGTCATATCCTTGAATGCGAGATTCATTAGTCTGGAGAAATTGACTTGATAGTAAGCACTCTGAAATTTTTCATTCTTCTTTCTTTTATGCATACAAGGTGTGGGACTTGTGGAGAGAAGGAAGAGCATCAAACATAGTGAATTCATCAATGATGGGAGGAACATATTCTGCAGATCAAGTGTTGAGGTGCATTCAAATAGCCCTGTTATGTGTCCAGGAATCTCCAGCAGATCGACCGACCATGTCAGATGTTGTCTTCATGTTGGGCAATGCAACCCCTCTTCCATCACCCAAGAAGCCTGCATTCATACTCTTAAGACAATACGATGATTCCAACACATTAACCGATGCAGATGCTAGATTAGAAATTCCATATACCAACCGTATGTCAATAACCACTTTAGAAGCTCGATAATACACATAAAGCAACCGTATGTACTAGGGGAAATTGTATTCATTTTTTTTTACTTGAGATTGATATTTTTCCTATAACTACTAAGGATTCAACTTTGTACTTCTGTATCTTAAGGTCTACAATATTCATCATGAAAAAGGACAATTAAAGATATGAAGTACACCTAAACTTTAGAAACTAGTGTGATCAAATTTGTTTCTCCGATACATCGATTGATTCAGGAGCATCATATGTGTCACCGAGGTACCAAAGTGGATAGTGTCACACGGTTTGTTGAAGGGATTGCTGATGATCCAGTGGTGATGGTGTCCATATCATCGTACTTTCCTTGGAGTATGAATGCTGGCTTCTTGGGAGATGGCAGGGTGGTTGCATTGCCCAACATAAAGACGACATCTGACATGGTCGGTCGATCTACGGGAGATTCTTGAACGCATAAAAGCCCTATTTGGATGCACCTCGTCATGACTTGATCTGTAGAGTCTGATCCTCCCAATGTTGATGAATCCACTATATCCATTGCTCTTCCTTCTTTCCACAACTCCCACACCTAGTATACATTACAAAAAAATGTCCCTAATTATGGTTGGGATTAATGTATAATAGATTTCTAGATATAGTCTCCATATGAAAGATGTCATGACTTCTTCTTTCCATAGGGGAAAGGGCACTTACATGAGCAATCAAGCTAATTGAAGGACTTTCTTGGTGACACTGGTTGCTCCTCCTGCCACTCAAGATCTCGAGTGTCAGGACTCCAAAGCTGAAAGCATCCGATTTTGTTGAATAAAGACCTCCCATTGCATACTCTGGTGACATGTACCCGCTGCAACATTTTCATGTACAAGGATAAGGAATTGTCTCATGTAATATCCTAAAGAGTAAACCTCATTTTATAGTTTCTTTTCTTACTAGGTTCCAACTACTCTATTTGTATTCGCCTCTGTTTGATCCTCTCCGAATAACCTAGCCAACCCAAAATCTGAAATTTTTGGGTTCATTGCAGCGTCTAGTAGAACATTGCTTGCTTTTAGATCCCTGTGAATAATTTTCATCCTTGAATCTTGGTGTAGATATAATAGACCTCGAGCAATGCCAATGATGATTTCAAATCGTCTCGGCCAGTCCAATTGTAATCCTTGAGTTTTATCTGAACCAATAGCACACATCAAACCGTAAGTTAGTCATATAAAACAAACTCAAAGGAACTTCTAATTTGACTAGCCCTAAGTTCAAAAAATTTCCCCTGGAAATTTATTATGAAAAAGATACAGAAAGAAAAATATCATGGGCGAAATTGAAGAGGGAAGAAAAATTTACCGAAGATGAAAAAGTCGAGACTTCTATTTTGTAGGTACTCATAGACCAACATCTTCTCATCCCCATGAATACAACAACCAAATAGTCTTGCTAGATTTTTGTGTTGGAGTTTGGAGACTAGGCGTACTTCGTTCTTGAATTCCTCGATTCCTTGTCTTGAAGTCTGAGATAATCTTTTCACTGCTATTTCTTGACCATCGAATAAGACACCCTGAGCAAATCAAATCTTTTAACTAGCCTTTTAATGTACAGCTTTCTTTACTTGTGAAGATAATTTTGAATTCATGTTTCACCTCCTTACCCTTTTCATTTTGAATCAACATCTTTCCTTCTTAGTATATTCAAAATCAACATCTTCTTGGTTACTCACTCCCTCTTAAAATATTCACCTCTCTTAGTGAGCATGTGGGGTGTATTTTTTCTCCAAAAGACAAAACAAACATATTGGTGCTCATTTTCTCTCTAGAAGTTTAGAACCTAGTTATCCACTCCAAGTATTTATATTTTGAATCATATCACTGAAAAATATTCACTTACAAGTTACAACATTGCCCTTCTAAGAAAAGAATAAATTCTTACGTACCTTATAAACAGAGCCAAAACCACCCTGCCCAAGCTTGTTACCCAAAGAGAAATTCCCCGTGGCATCAAATATGTCATTTACGTCAAAAATTGGTACCGATGAATCTTTGTCTTCGTACAAAATTTCTCTTTGAGAATCAGAGTTTGTTCTCAGAATAGTATGAGCAATGCCTCCTGTGCTTCCTGCATCACTTAAGAGTAAAGAGCTCAACAAACTAAACAATCTCAATTTGGTTAGTGTCTTCAGAAGGGGGTTCAAAACTAAGAATCAGGTAGTGCACGATCACGATCCACAATCATTGAATGAATATGACTATACAATTGTCGTAACTCGCATTCGATAGTTGTGCATTCGCAGGACCCACAAACCAAACATGCTTACAAAACATCTATATGCACTAACCACATCCAAATAAACCATATGTTTTGAGAAATGATTAGCTCAGTCTTCTCTTAATTACCTTTTCTTTTCCTTTTCATGAGGCAGCACACCATTGAAACCCCCAAAACAATGGCCGCACCCACAGAGGTCAATACGATCTCTAAAGACACCTTCTTCTGCTTGTCTCCTTTCAACCGTTTCATGTACTCCGCTACAACATCACAAATCATACATCAGTTTCAAGACCAAATGCGAATAGTTCGAATCTTGGTGCCAACATTCGTGCGCGCATACCTAATTCTGTCGCGTCCACTGAGATTTTTCCAGAAATAACACTGTTTAAAAAAAAAATTCCAAAAATAGCACCCAACTCCGAAAAATTCCAAAAATAGCACCATTTTTTTTAAACCGCAACCCGGAGGTGCGTTTTTCGATGAAAACGCCACCCGAGGGCGCGTTTTTCGATGAAAACCGCACTGGTAGGGAGCGGTTTTGCAAACCGCACCCCCAGGGTGCGATCTGCCTTTTTTTTTTTTTTTTTTGCAAACCGCACCCCCAGGGTGCGATCTGCTTTTTTTTTTTTTTTTTTTTTTTGAAAAATCCTAACTTAGGTGGAAACTTCAAACAAACGTATCTTTATGTTCGGGTATCCGATCGCCGCGATTTTTTTTTTGATTACGCATAACTTTTTGAGATCTTGCAAGCCGAAGACTGCCAAAGGTGGTTTGGACTCGCCTTCGAACCAAAAAATGTCGTTTGCTACCCCGAACGAGCATTTTTTCGATTTCGTCAAACTTTGAACGACCATAACTTTGTGCTCCACAATCCGAAAATCATGATTTTTTTTTTGATTTTGCATAACTTTTTGAGGACTAAATTTTTTATCATAGACATAATTTCGGAATGTACTTGGATTCCTAAAAAGAAAGGTAAACTTATTCCCAAAACCCCGTATATCCAAAATAATTCATTTTTTGAAAATTCTCTCCTAGAAAAAATTGTAGTCCTCAAAAAGTTATGCAAAATAAAAAAAAAGTTCATGATTTTCGGATTGTGGAGCACAAAGTTATGGTCGTTCAAAGTTTGACGAAATCGAAAAAAGGCTCGTTCGGGGTAGCAAACGACGTTTTTTCGGGACGAAGGCGGGACCAAACCGCCTTCGGCATTTTGCGGCTTGCAAGATCTCGAAAAATTATGAGGAATCAAAAAAAAAATCGCGACGATCGGATACCCGAACATAAAGATACGTTCGTTTGAAGTTTCCACCTAAGTTAGGATTTTTCAAAAAAAAAAAAAAAAAAAAAAAAAAAGCAGATCGCACCCTGGGGGTGCGGTTTGCAAAAAAAAAAAAAAAAAGGCAGATCGCACCCTGGGGGTGCGGTTTGCAAAACCGCTCCCTACCAGTGCGTTTTGCATCGAAAAACGCGCCCTCGGGTGGCGTTTTCATCGAAAAACGCACCTCCGGGTTGCGGTTTTACAAAAATGGTGCTATTTTTGGAATTTTTCGGAGTTGGGTGCTATTTTTGGATTTTTTTTTTAAACAGTGCTATTTCTGGAAAAATCTCGCGTCCACTGAATGTGAAAGAAGCGGTCACTGAAGGCAAGGGCTAAATTAGATTTTTTTAAATAATAAATGTTCTTTGACTTTGGTGTATTTGCAAGTTATTTGTTATACATTCATGTTATTATGGGAAAAAAAGGAGAAATAAACATGTGGCAGTCACTTCTACTCTTTATAGAATGAGTTTCTAAATGTTGTTTTACTCCCAAGTAATCGAGATAACATTAGATTGATGAAATCGACGTCTTAATTAAGTTAGTTCAGCTGTACTCGCATACATTAAAAGTGTCGAACAAAGATGTATTTGTTTGATTGCATGCAATCACGAATTTCATCCGACCCATCAAGTTTTAATTGGAGCCAAACAAGGCCCAAGTGCTTGAATACTTTTCAGCAGATTTTGGATTATCCCATTGTGGTATTCTTCCCCAAGTCAATTGTTTATGGCGTTTAGTTTCGTTTACCTTATAGACCCTACATCAGAATTCACAAATGCGTGGAAGAATGTGTGGTCACCAAAATGGCATATGTGAAGAGATAGGAGGAATTTGATAGTTGAGTCAATCTTATCTCATGAAATAGAAAATGAGGTGTGGTTTGATAACTTAATGTGTGTATTGTTTATAATGATATTATTATTCTTATTTTTATGCACAAATAATATATGTATATTTTTAATGTGACGGAAAGAATTATTCAGTTTTAGTGATTGTTAATCTACGTTTTTAGTTGAGATTTGTTGAGAAAGTTAATGTTGATATTGTTGGTTCTATTTTTTTTTTTAAATTCCAGTTATAGCTCGAACTTCTTATGTTGTTGCCTTCTTACATTATAAAGAAGGACAAAAATGATATGTCACTCGTAAAGTGATATCGCTTTTTGAAATACCAAAAACGGAATCATTAAAATCGAACAAAATAATACATTATTTTTTTAAAAGGAAAATGACCGGTGCATCGAAGAAAGGCTAGACAGATGTGCTGACTTTTTTTTAATACAGAAGCCATACATGTGTCAACGAGCTATCAAAGTAGATAGTGTCACGTGATTTGTTGAAGGGGTCGTTGATGATCCGGTGGTGATGGTGTCCATATCATAATATTTTCCCTGGAGTATGAATGCCGGCTTCTTGGGAGATGGAAGGGTGGTTGCATTCTCCAACATGAAGATGACATTTGACATGGTAGGTCGATCATCGGGAGATTCTTGGACGCATAAAAGACCGATTTGAATGCACCTCATCATAACTTCATCCCCACTGTCTAGTCCTCCCATTGTTGATGAATCCACTATGTCCAATGCTCTTCCTTCTTTCCACAACTCCCACACTTAGAATACGTTACTGACAAATTGTCACTAATAATGGATGGGGTTAATCAAACTCAACAATAGGAGTACTTACTGTCAAGTTAAGCTTTCCGACCTAACAAGAAATTAATCTCATGTGAAAGACGTCATGATCACTTCTTTCATTGGGTGGAAATTGGAAAAGAGCACTTACATGAGCAATCAAGCTTATTGATGGACTTTTTTGGAGACATTGGTTGCTCCTCTTGCCACTCATGATCTCGAGTGACAAAACCCCAAAGCTGAAAGCATATGATTTCGTTGAATAAAGACATTCCATTGCATACTCTGGTGACATGTATCCGCTGCAACAATTAAGTTCATGTACAAAAGGATCAGAACTTGTCTAATGTAATCTGTCAAAGAGGAAACCCCACTTTCTTTTCTTACTAGGTTCCGACGACTCTGTATGTATTGCCCTCTGTTTGATCCTCTCCGAATAACTTGGCCAACCCAAAATCTGAAATTTTAGGGTTTATTGCAGCGTCTAGTAGAACATTGCTTGCTTTTAGATCCCTATGAATGATTTTCAGCCTTGAATCTTGGTGTAGATATAAAAGACCTCGAGCAATGCCAATGATGATTTCAAATCGTCTCATCCAGTCCAATTGCAACCCTTTTGTTTTATCTGGTCAATAGGACACAATATCAAACTATCAATTTGTCATAAAACAAACTTTAAGGAATATATAATCTGGTTGGCTCTAAGTTCAAACTGTTTCCAATAACTAAGAACATATAGACAAAATATGATGGACTAAATTGAAGAAGAGAGGAGAAAAAAATTACCAAAGATGAAGAAGTCGAGACTTCGGTTTGGTAAGTACTCATAGACCAACATCTTCTCATCTCCATGAATACAACAGCCAAACAGTCTTGCTAGATTTTTGTGTTGGAGTTTGGAGACTAGTCGTACTTCATTCTTGAAGTCCTTGTCTTGAAGTCAGAGACAACCTCTTCACAGCTATTTCTTGATGGTCGGGTAGCACGCCCTAAACACATCAAAATCTTAACTAGCCATTCTTGTGTATCGTTCTCTTGTGAAAATAATGTTCACTTCATGTTTCACATCCTTACATTATGAACATCTTAATTGGCTACTCACATCCTCTTACAACTCACCCCTCTTTGTGAACATGTGCGGTGTGTTTGCTTCCAAAAGACAACCACATGTCAATAACCACTTTGATAGCTCGATAATACATAGAAGACAACCACACTTGTTATCAAAATAAATATGATGTTATTTTCTTTTAACATAATCTTGGTAATATCAGGTTCTGCATCTTAAGTTATACATACTGTAATACTTTCTTTACACACGAAACACTTCACTTTTACTATTCCTCTTAATTAGTAAAAATTTGCTTCCCAGTAAGTTTTTTGATTGAAAAGCAGGTAAATGTAAAAATGCTAAGATGAGTGTTAGATTTGATATTTTGGTATTTAGAAAAGAGTTTTGCACCAATGGAAACGTCAAAGTGTCAATTCTTTCCATTTTGGGTTTTTACACAATCTAGTTTAGTGTAAATTTCATAACTTTATTTAGATAATTATGTCAAGTTTTTACACAGATATTAATAAGTAATTAAAATGACATATTAAGTATGACATTGCCAATGAATAAAATACAAAAACTAAGACAATCTGTAGCTTTCAAAATTTAAAGGGAAACGAAGTTGAAAAACACAGAAAAATTATGAAAACGCCCTCCTAAAAAGTAGGCCCAAATCGGCGATTAATATACTTCATAATTGGTGGAGAATAGCCTCAGGGCGACTCGTGATCTGTAATTTTCAAAATCCAAAGAAAATAGTCTTTCGAAAAAATTGTTCGAAATATGTGCCCTTATGAACCTGACAAAATGGACCCGGAAAAAATCTGCCCAAATTAGTGCTTAATAGACTTAATCATCGGCGTAGAATAGCTTTAGGCCGAATAGGTGATTCGTAGCATTCAAAATAAGTGGGAAATGCATTTTCGAAAAAAATGCTTAAAAAATTAACAAAAATGCCATCAGAAAAAATACACCAAAATCGACGATTAATAGACACCATCATTGATAGAGAATAGCCTTAGGTTAAATCCGTGATCTATTGTCTTCAAAATCCAAGGAAAATAGCCTTTTGAAAAAATCTGTTGAAATCTATGATGGTACAGCTTTAGAATCTACCAAAAATGGACCAGAAAAAAATCCACCCAAATCGGTGCTTAATAGACTTAACCTTTGGTGAAGAATAGTCTTAGATCGAAGCACTGATCTGTAGCCTTCAAACTCCAAGGAAATGGCTTTTCGAAAACATCGTATGAAATTTGTGATGATACCCCTTTGTAATCTGCCAAAAATGGACCCCGGATTATTTTTGCCCAAATTGATACTAAATATACTTAATTATCAGTGAATAATAGCCTTAGGCTGAATCCTTGATTTGTAGCTTTCAAAATCCAAGAAAAATGCCCTAATAAAAAATGCCCAAAAATTACGTAAATGCCCTCTAGAAAATACGCCCAAATCTGTGATTAATGGACATCATCATCGATGGAGAATAGCCTCACACAGAATCCGTGATCTATTGCTTTCAAAATCAAAGGAAAATCGTGTTTCGAAAAAATCGCTCAAATTTGTCCTGCTACCGCTTTAGAATTTGTCAAAAATGGACACAAAAAATTCACCTAAATTGGTGCTTAATAGACTTAATCATCAGTGAAGAATAGTCTCAGGCCAAATCACTAATATGAAGCCATCAAATTTTAATGAAAATGACTTTTCAAAAAAATAGCTCAAAAACTATGATGGTACCCCTTTAAAATATGTCAAAAATGGACACGGAAAAAATTTGCCCAAATCGGTGCTTAAGACTTAATCAACCTTGAATAATAGTGTCAGGCCAAATCCGTGATATGTAGCCTTCAAAATTCAAGAAAAATGGACTTCCGAAAAAAAAAACGCCCAAAAATTTACAAAAAATGCCCTCTGAAAAATCTGACGAATCGGCAATTAATAGACTTCATCATCGTTGGAGAATACTCTCAAGCTAAATCCGTGATCTATAGCCTTCAAATATGCAATTAATAGTCGTCATCATCATCGATGGAGAATATTCTCAGGCCGAATTCATGATCAGTTGCCTTCAAAATGCAAGGAAAATGATATTTCAAAATTATTGCTCAAAATCTGTGATTGTATCCATTTGAAATCTGAAAAAAAAAATCTTCACAAATTAATGTTTAATGGACTTAATTTTTTTATAGCTTTTTGGCTCTTTTCAATTGTTAGACCATTTTAGTGGTGTTCCATAAACTAAGTTTTGTTAGCTTTTTGGCTCTTATTGAAGAATGTTTGTGCTAGATTATGGCTTTTTAAGTCATATATTCTTTCGAAACTGCTTAATTTAGGGGACATATTCTTCCACAGATGTATGATAATGACAATTAGGGATGTAAATGAGTCGAGCTGCTTTCGAGTGACTCGACGTTCGACTTAGAAAAAACTCTTTCGAAACTCGACTCGTCTATTAATGAGCCGAGCTCAAACAAACCCTTTTGCAGCTCGCGGAGCTCCTTAGCTAGCTCGACTCGTTGGCTTGTTGAGCTCAACTCGTGACCTGGCTCTTTTAGAACTTATGAGATGTCTCGACTCTCAACATTGTGGCTAGAGAGACAACTCGATTACCGACATATGAGCCAATTGATTTATATGAGTTTGATTTTGATAATTCATAGAATTGCTAAATTATGTATCTTACACGTAGATTACGTGATAAAATATGTCTTATTTAATTTTAATTTTTTTTATGTATTATAGATTGCTTCGTTATTATGAAATAATATAATTTTAACTAGTTAAAATTTATTAACTAAATAATATGATACCATAAAGTATAACATGAGATTTAATATTGAACATTTAACTATTATTTTTTTAATTTTATCTTGACATTAACACATGTATCATACATGACTTACAAAATAAATATATCAAATACGAGTCAAGATTTTAGTTAGCAAGCTAGCTCGAACTCGACTCGACTCAACTCGTTAATAAACGAGCCGAGCTCGAACTCAACTTGTTATTAACGAGCCGAGCTCAAGCTGAGATAAAACTCGGCTCGGCTCGGCTCATTTGCAACCCTAGTGGGAAATTTTGTGTTGATATAGTGAATGTCTTACATTAAAAATTAGGTGATATTTCATTCATGATGTGACATCACTTTTTGATACCCTTAAAATACCATAAAAATCAAAGAGTAATCTATAATGCTACCAATTTAACAATTAAATACCAAACGGACCACTAGATAAACATAGCTTGTCAGGAAACTATGATTAGTTGCCAAAATGTGAACTTTACCTATGCTGGACCAATTGTGAAAGAATAGATCGGGGTCAAATTGCTCCATCAAAATTTTATGGTTCAAAACGGTTCGATTTGACCAGATTATTTCAAAACAAAATAATTAAATTGATCCATTAGAATTTCTTATCCAAATGACCCCTAGGTTCCAAACTGACCAACCTTTAAAACAATTGCTCTCATTCAATCACTTTTCGATATATTTATTTTCATGTGAGTACACATGCCATAATCTTACATAAAATATCAAGAGAAATTAATTATAACCGTTCTTGAATTTTCCTGATAAACAATTTCTTCCAGTAAGTCCATCTTATGAAAAGAACAACATTTCAGAGCGCGTGGACCATAGATCCTGCGGAATTTGTGACCAGCGCATGCAGGTTCTTGTTGTGATGGCCGACAAGAAGGATTCTAATTGTAAGAAATAGAAATGGGAGGATCCAATAGAAAATTTTCGAATAAATTTGGCAATAAAAATCCACAATTTCATGTCGGGATGATAACGGCGGGTCGGGACTGAAGTGCATGTACATTATCTTACTACTCTCGAAGTATACTTTTGTTCATATAATAATCGGGTAAAATATTATGAATATATGAATATTTGATTAGATTTCGAACATTCATAAGTAATAATTCTTCTTTATAACTTCGCATAACACGTTAACAATCAAACGTATACTAAAATTAAATAAGTAAAAATATACAACAATAAATCACTAGAACGGAGAAATCGGTTAAAAACAACACAATTTCATGAAAATATTATATATGTATAATAAATATCGAATACGTTGGAAAAAAAATATCAATGATCTTTAATTAAACAAAATACGTATGAGAGTGTATAATCGAGCGAGTTTGAGTCCGCGATAGTGCAAAAATAAAATCATGCTCATTCATCATCTTTTGTATTTTTATTCGAATTTTACGCATACCCATTAAAATTATTCGAATTTGAACTTTCTTCTATCATATTAAACAAATTTGGACAAATATCCACGGACGTGATTTATTACCATCAGATGAGAGGGATAGTAACAAATAAGTTCCTCTAGAATATCCCTCTCCCCCCTCTTATATTTTTGGTGAGCACATTTTCATCCCCGACAATTTGTCACTGCATTAATTAATAGCACACAATATGTGTGGACTACAAAGCATCATTGACTGACTAGGGGAAACGCCAAAGCCGTCGACCGACTGAAGTCTACTGAGAAGTGAGAAGTATTCAATAACTCGGCCGCGTTTGGGTCCCCATCAAAACTTAACGGTCAATCGCGTGGATTGGAATATGAGCACAAGAGCTACGTTGATGGACATTCTGTATGGTTGAAAAATTGGTTTGGGATTGAAATCGTATTTGTTGAGAAATCGTACATGTAAGTGTTTAGGGGATTTTCGATCCCCATTTAATCATGAATTAAGGTTAGGATACTCCGCATTCATTTATAAAAAATGGACTTTAACCTACTAGGTCATATATTATTACTCTTTTGAGGTGGTTGGCGCCACAATGACCGTATCTTTTCCATCCAATATATTCCCCCGTCAAACCCTGTTCTTGGTTTGGATTTTTACGTGGATTGTTGGGACAGGATACGGTGACAACCCCCTTGGGGGTTGTCAGATTCACAACCACCTTTGTGGCCATCGGATACGTTCTCTCTCCTGTCTTTTTCTTCTTTTTTTAAATTAATGGTTAAGATTAAACCAAGGGCAAATTCGGAATGGAAAACTTACCACATGAGATCCTTTCCATTTTCCATATAAATACTTTTTATTACCAAAAAAAAAAAAAAGACCCTCCCCCATTCTCCTGCGTCTCCCTCCTCTTCCCCTCTCACATATCTCTAACAAAAAAACCCTAGCCGTCAAGAGCTCCACCACCGTCGCCGCCTCATCCTCCCCTGCCGCCGCGCCGCTGTCCTCCCCTCCCTCTTCCTCTCCCGTGCCCACCGTTCACAGCCTGCTGTCCCCGCCATCATGATCGAGATCTACGCCGCCGCCTGGCTCCGCGACGTCCAGATCGGCTCCGTCCGCGTTCTCATCAGCAACGTCCAGATCGACGTCCAGATCGTCTCTACACCAAGCTCTCTGCCTCCGGCGTCGGCCTCAACGACCTCCTCGACGCCAAGGCCACCGCCGGGGGTGCGAAGAATCTCGATGAGAAGACCGCCAATGCTAGTGGTACCAATTCCTATTGGTACGATACCACTACTCACTGGTACGTACCAGTGGCTCCCCTACCACTACTCACTGGTACCATTATCATCTGGTACCACTATCATCTAATACCACTATTATCTGTTTTTTTGTGTTATTCTGTACTGGTACCGCTACCAATGCTAGTGGTAGCGCTACCAGTGCTAGTAGCGTTGTGTTATTCTCTACTGGTAGCGTTGTAATGATAGCGTACCACTAGTATTGGTACATTTTTTACTGGTACCGCTAGTACTGGTACATTTTTTAACGTACTGGTAGCGTACCACTAGCATTGGTATATTAATTACCAGTAAACTAATAGATTGGTACACTTTTTAACGCATTGGTACATTTTTTCAGGTTGCCGGAGGGAGTCTGCCGGAGAGAATTCGCCGGAGAAAAAGTTTGTCAGTCGATGCGGAGTGGTTGCTGGAGAAAGGAAGAGAGAGAGAGATAGATAGAGATATTAATGTATAAGATTTAAATTTCAGAAAAAATTGTATTTAATATGGGTATTAAATTCTCAATATAATTAATACAAAAAAAGTAATTAATATATTCATTTTTTTCATACCCAAAATATCTTTGGTTGTGAATCTGACAACCCCCAAGGGGGTTGTCACCGTATCCTGTCCCTGGATTGTTTGATGTGAAAAAAGTCTATCTCTGAACAGTGCTCCATGTGGATCATTCGCACGAAAGAAAACAGAAACATCCTCTACTTGTCTTCTTTAATTTCTCGAGTAAAATACCCAAACAAACACAACCTTGATAACAAAAGAGTCCAAAGCAAAAAACATGAACCATGCTCTGAACTTTCCATTTCCTTGATCATGGAGCTCCAATCCATTCTACTGCTTCTTCCACTCATCATCTCTCTTCCTTTCTGTTCTTCATCTACAGACACCATAAGATTCAACGAATCTCTTGCAGACGGCCAAGTACTAGTTTCCAGTGGAGAAAAGTACACCCTCGGCTTCTTCCGCCCCGGCAGCTCAAGAAATCGATACCTCGGAATTTGGTTCACCAAACTTCCGACCCGGGTCGTCGTTTGGGTCGCCAATCGAGACAATCCGATCAACGACACTACCGGCTCGCTCTCCATCGACGCCGCTCGAGGAGGCTTGATTTTGCAACAGGGGAGCAGGAACATGACTACTCCTGCTCCCCTCTGGTCTACAAACGTCTCCACCGCCGGACAAAATCCGGTGGTGGCACGACTGTTAGACGAAGGGAATCTCGTCCTGCTGCAGCAGCAGCAGGACGGGGATCAGGTCCTGTGGCAGAGTTTCGACCATCCGACCGACACGGTCCTGCCCAACATGGTGCGGAAAACAGGACCGGACTACGCGGTCCGGTCCTGGAAGTCCCCTGACGACCCTGCAGCAGGGGACTGGTCCTACGTCCTGGAATCGAACGGGTCGCCGCCTCAGCTGATGCTGTACGAAGGTCGGACCAAGCGGTGGCGGAGCGGACCGTGGAACGGAGTCGCCTGGTCCGGGGTCCCGGACATGTCTAGGATCACCTTCTTCAACATCAGCGTCGTGGTCAACGACAGCGATTCGACTTTCGTCTGGGGACTTCGGAATGATCCTACTCTAATAGCCCGGGTGTACTTGGATCCGGAGGGGATTTTGAACCGAGCAATTTGGCAGGACAAGGATGCGCGGTGGAACGAGATCTTCAGGTATCCGAAGGAGACGTGCGACTGGTATGGACACTGCGGGCAGAATGGGAACTGCGACCAGAACAAGGATGCAGGGGCTTTCTTCTGCAGCTGCCTCCCGGGGTTCGAGCCGAGGTCTCTGGGCGACTGGTACCTGAGGGATGGCTCGGGAGGGTGCGCCAGGAAGCGAACGGGGAGCCTGAGCTGTGGAAGGGACGGTGGAGGCGATGGGTTTGTGAAATTGGAAAATGCTAAAGTTCCTGACACGACGACGGGGAGATTGTACGCGGGTATGGATTTGAAAAACTGCGAGCAGGAGTGTCTGAGGAACTGTTCCTGTACGGCTTACGCGAGTTCTAATTTGACGAGCGGGATTGGGTGCATCGTACTGTACGGGGATCTGATGGATACGAGAGTGTTTGCTGGTGGTGGGCAGGATGTGTATGTGCGAGTGAATGCGGCTGAGTTAGGTACGAAGATGATTGTTGACTTCAAGATTTGAACTACGAAGAAAAAGTTATAGTTGCATTGCTCTTGAATTGGATGTAGCACTGATGTGTGGTTGTGATTCAGCTGAATACAGGAAAAGGTTGAAAGGAGACAATGGGAAGAAGAAGGTTTTAGCGATTGCATTGGCCTCTGTGGCTGCGGCCATCATGTTGGTGGTTTCAGTTGCGTATTATTGCCTCTGGAGAAGGAAAAGAAAAGGTAATGGAGCAAAAGTGAAATGATATAATCACTTTGGTATGGTTCCAATTTTATTGGATGTGTTGCAGGAAATGTGAGCTAATCAATTTTTTAAACATATGTAGGAAACAAAGAAGAGACTAATCGTACGATTCCGAAAATAGAATCCGAATCCGAGAAGGAAAGTTTGTACGAAGATAAAGATTCGTCGGTGCCAATTTTTGATGTGCTTGACATCTTTGCTGCCACGAAAGATTTCTCTTTGGCCAGCAAACTTGGACAGGGAGGTTTTGGCACCGTTTACAAGGTACACACCAATGTGCAATGTTGCCCTAAACAGTAACAATGATGTTTTTTCATAGTGAAAAGATATCATATATGAAGGTTAAGAAAAAGGGGTGAATAAGATTTTGATAATTTAATTGCGAGGTAATGTAAATAAGTAGTTAAGATTTTGATACTTTTCTGTAAATAGTTAACTTTTTTATTTGTTTAGGGTGTACTTTCTAGCGGACAAGAAATAGCCGTGAAAAGATTGTCTCAGACCTCGAGGCAAGGAATTCGAGAATTCAAGAATGAAGTACGGCTAGTTTCCAAACTCCAACATAAGAACCTAGCAAGGCTGTTTGGTTGTTGCATCCATGGAGAGGACAAAATGTTGATCTATGAGTATTTGTCAAACAGAAGCCTCGACCTCTTCATATTTGGTCCGCATTTTTCACCCCTCGTCAATTCAATCTATAATATTTTTTCTTCCGTTCTTTTTTCGTAATCAATTGTTAATGAATTTTTTTGAATAAGAGTGAGTTAGTCTAGATGCTTGTTCAATGTTAATTTTATGACTAATTGAGGAGTTGATATGTGTTTTTTTATCCAGATAAAAGGAGAAGCTCGTTATTGGATTGGATGAGACGATTTGAAATTATCATTGGAATTGCTCGAGGTTTATTGTATCTGCATCAAGATTCGAGGTTGAAAATCATCCACAGGGATCTTAAAGCAAGCAATGTTCTACTAGACGCTGCAATGAATCCTAAGATTTCAGATTTTGGGATGGCTAGATTATTTGGAGAAGATCAAATAGAGGCCAATACAAATAGAATTGTTGGAACCTAGTAAGAAAGGAAAATAGAAAACCTTGCTCCCTTGATTAAGAGAGTACACAAGACAAGTTTTTAATCCTTGATGTTGTAATTGCAGCGGATACATGTCACCAGAATATGCAATGGAGGGTCTCTACTCAACCAAATCAGATGTTTTCAGCTTTGGAGTTCTGACACTTGAGATCGTGAGTAGTAGACGAAGCAACCAATGTTACCAAGAAAGTCCATCATTAAGCCTGATTGGTCATGTAAGTGCTTTCAACCTATGCAAACAAGTCATGTCCTTCAATATATGCTGTCTACGAGTTTAACCTTACACTAAGTACTCCTAAGGTTGAGTTCAAATCCTTGTCAAAGAAATAGTTTGGGTATGGGAGGATTTATGGTTTCAAGTACAGGAAGTAATCACTTAACTCAGAAATATCACTAACTATTCATTTTTGCTTGTCATAATAGGTGTGGGAGTTGTGGAGAGAAGGAAGAGCATTGGAAATTGTAGATCCATCAACGATGGGAGAATCATGTTCTATCGATCAAATCATGAGGTGCATTCAGATAGGTCTTTTATGCGTTCAAGAATCTCCATCCGATCGACCAACTATGTCAAATGTTGTCTTCATGTTGGGCAATGAAACCACTCTTCCATCTCCGGGGAAGCCGGCATTCATACTCCAAAGGAAGCATGATGATGCAAACTCAGTTGCAACTAATGTCACCGGATCATCGACAGATCCTTCAACCAACCAAATGTCAATAACCACTTTGGTAGCTCGATAATACATAGAAGACAACCACACTTATTATGAAAACAAAGACAGTGTTTACTTTTTTGTTCTCTTGCTACTTGCTAGTAATTACAAAGTATACGACCCCGTGCTTCTGCATCTTAAGCTTTACATACTCGTTTATTGTAATAATTTTTTTTCAGAGACGGAACACTTCACTTTCAATATTCTTAACATTAATTAATTATTAATTAATATTATTAAGCCGTAAGTATCATTACTATTCCTTACGACTTTTTCTCCCAATTTACTATTCATTGTAGGAGCTTATATTGTACGGCCGGTTCCATTATTACTAACCTCATAATTATTTGCCCATCCTAAGTACCGTATGCACTATGGAGCTAGGCCTAGCTTTTGTTTTCTTCCTTTAAATTGATGGTAACTTTTTTTCCAATTTGATTTTGTTTTTTAATGCGGGTTTATTTCAAGGTTGTCAACATGATTTAGCCTGTTGGTTAGGTCGAGCAAGTCGGTTGAGTGTTAACGGTTTGCTCACTTTAGTTCGGATATAACATTACACCAAAAGAACATTTCGTACTTGGATCCAACGTTTAGTAAAAATTCGAACACACTCATACAACATCAATATTCAAAATTTCAACCTAGATTCAAAAGATAGGGTTAGGCAATGTGCAAAATAAGAAAATAGACATAATTCGCAAACCAAATGGACAAATAACGCCATGTGACGTCCAACTCGAAAATCTTGCTTCGGGTTGACCTGCGGGCGTGTAACACCCGTTTTTCCTCACACAGTCCAGGTTAACCCGCAGGTTGACAACCTTAAAAGGAGCTTCTAAATTAATTTGATTCTTTGAAGTTATAAATAAAGTCTTTGATCATTAAGTAATGTCATTTTTATAACTGTAAATCGTGTGGGGTTATAATTCATTACGTAAAAAGATCTTCAACTAGATAAAAACTCATGTGAGATACAATACATAAAGATTACAAAATAACAGTCATAATTAGTATTGATTGACTTTGATAATTCATCGTGTCCTACAGTTGCAAGAAGCAAATTACTTAGGGGTCGTTTGGAGAACAGGATTCATGACATGGATTCACTGAATCCGTAGATTTTGTAGAAAGTTATGTTTTTTTGTTTTTTTTTTTGTATTATGGATTCTAGCTTTAGAGATTTAAAATCTCTAAAATCTGTGGATATCAAATCTCTCATAATCAGAGAGATTCTATATCTTGATTCGTGAGATTTTTTTCTCTCCTGGTTTTTCTCTTACTTCTATTTATTTATCACATGAAATATATCTATCAACAAAGTTTTTAACATTTTTTGAACCACTCTAATTTTTTTATTAAGAATACAAATTTTATTTAATATAAAATTAATTTTTTATTTTAATTGAATGTTAACAATCACAGTTACCAAACAATAAATATTTTAAAATATGTTTTCAACAATCTGGAGAGTTAGAATCTTTAGATTGTTGACAATCTATAGATTTAAACTCATATTCTCCAAACAACCCCTTAGCCATTTTTTTCATTCGACATTAGTGAAGAATTAGGTATTGAAACACATTATGTAAAGCTGATTATAAATTACAATCTTCACCGTAAGTTTGCATTACGAAAAGTTATATAAGGTAAGTTAAATTTTACATAGTAGTTTGCTCAAATCTAATACTTTTTCATAACTTGATTTTATTACTAGGTCACATATTATAAAATATTTACTTAACACTATTCTATAACAATTACCTCAATTACAAATATACGACGTAAAACTCACAGATGAATTGTTATTTCTTATGTATCGTTAAACAAAACTTATTACATAAGTCTTCTATAATAACTAAGATAACACATAAAGTTTATGAAAGGATAGTAATTTTTTATGTATCGGTTGAATAAACATAATCGTAAGCCTTACGTAATACAAGTTTGAATAAATAAGCCATACATTGTGACCAAATGTTTAATCATCTCATCAACTTACATTACAAAAAAGTTATGAAAGATGAGTTAGTTTTACATAACAGTTTAATCAAATATAATACTTTACATATCTTAATTCACTTATTAATTATAAAATAAAATTCATTTACTGTTATCAACAATACACATTATCTAATCGATTTTCATTATGCAAAGGTTCCCTATGATAAGTTAATTATACATGATAATTTTATCAAATGTGATATTTTTCGTAATTTTATTTTATTTTTAGTTTACACATTACCGAAGATCAGCGTAACATCCTTCTACAACAATTATGATAATTCAAAATATATTATGTAGAACTTATAAATGGATTATTAATTCTCACATATCAATTACATAAACATATTATGTAAGCCTTCCTTCAAAATTAAGACTCTATGTAAAGCTTATGAAAGTAGTTTTTCCGAAATATTTTGCGAATTATCTGATTTCAATTAAATTATAAAATGTGTGAATGAGATTTTAAATGTAGTTAGTTTCTTACCACGAAGAAGGCGTTCATCCGCTTCTGTGATCCAACTCCCACAACGACTGGGAGGATTCCTCTGGCAGAAGTGGACCCGCCATTGAAGCTTTTCACAAACACTTCTGTTGGGATCAAGTCATTAGCATTCTTTCCCAACTTCTTCAGCATCCTTGTTGGCATCACATTTACTGCAACGCCATTGTCAACTAAGACTCTCGACATTGGTACGTAATCAAGTGTGGCCTTGATGTAGAGAGGCCTCAAATGATGCAACATCTTCAGCTCGGGCTCGTTGAAAACAACGACCATGTTCGATTCTTCACCCGTGGTTCCTTCGTTCACAACTTTCCCCTTCGCTTCTGCAACTCGGATAGATTTATTCACCTCATCGAACTCTGATCCCCACATGATCTTTGAAGTTATAAAAAGATCTTCAACTAGTATAATAAAGCCGCAAGCATACTTAAGGGGTCCAGTAGGCTGTGGTCGGGTGTACCGTAAGCCTTCTGCGACCCTTTTCCCCACCGTTTCTTACTTTGGTCTCCCCGCGTAGACTGCCTGGCGGCTACGCAAGTTGTTTCGCTTCCCGGTGGAATCAAGTGATAGTAAGTAGAGAAGGGTTGGAGTTCTACTCTCTCGGATCTTGAAGAAGCAAGCAGAGAAAGCCAGACACCAAGATCTAAGAAGCAATTCATTTCGATTTTCATCCCATTTACCCCATTCCTTCTGCCCCCTCTGTCGATCCCATTGAAGCGTCGATGTCCTGTTCTCCCCACCTCGAAGCGCCGGCATCCCATTCTCCCCCCTCTGCCCCGGCGTTCCGTAGATGGATTATTCGATAATGGCAATTGTTTGACAATCGCAGCAGTACCTCCAGCGCGACGAAGCGGCAAAATTCCTAGGGCTCGATATGGATTTTGTCGATCCCTTGGAGCCGGTGAATCGAAGCGTCAGTGTTCCATTCTACCCACTCCTTCTGCCGCTCCGTGCCTCTTTACTTTGACGCAACAGTTTTGGCAACAATCATCGAATATATCATAGAATCGGCAGGGGAAGAGAAGGGGAATTCCAAGGTTTCAGTTTCACGGCCATCACCGATTCCAATCGATCCCTCAATCTCATCGATGTAAGTAACTGTTCAGTGGGTTGCATGTTCAATTAATTGAATGTGGTCGTTGAATAATGAATTCTCCAGCTGCTTCATAGTCCCTTCCCCAAACGGTACCAACGTCTTTCAATTCGCATTGTGGATAATTGACGAACTATGGGCACTCTGTTTTCCTGCTGATGGGATTGCGTTATCATAAAAAGTGGGCAAGTAATTAGAAGAAGAGAGTAATTGGAAGAAGCCACCACAAGTTGGTCGACATGAAGATGAAGAGGAGAGGGATCAGGAGCAACCGATCAATACCAGGAGCAGCTCTTCTCTCTTTAATTCATTTAGAACTCTTGATGTTGGCCAAATTTAGAAAGCCAATCAAGTACAAGTTGGGAGGTGGGGGTGGTCCAAGTTATGGATTCAATCTCAATAAAAGAGATCAAGGGTAGGTAAGCTACTAATTTTTTGAAGGTAGGGAGACTTAGAAGTGATTAAAAGAGAACTGCATGGGAATGAAGTTGCAATCTGCAATTGTAGATTAAAAGAGTATCAAAGGAAGCAGAACAATGACAACACTGAGAACAACAATGGAAAAGAGAAAAGGTTATGGAGCTAATAAAGTGACATTTGTTGTCATCAATTATTCATCTTCTCCACGTGTAGTGGGATGTCATTGGTCTTGGTGAATAATGCAAGAGAAGGGATGAGAACTTATGGAGTTATGTCATCAGAAAGAGGATTTGTGGATTAAGATTAAGAAAACAATAGGTTCACTTTTAGAGGGTTATTTTCAGGAATATTGTTTTTTTTTAATTTACCACGAATATAGTGGTTTTAAAACTATTTACAGGAATATTGTGTTTTTTGATATGTTGAAAGCGCCGAAGCTCCAGTCCGGGGCGCCGGCGCTAGGTGCTTTTTTAAAAAAAAACTCGGCGCCGGCGCCCCGGACTGGGGCTTTGGCGCTTTTGAGAAAGAAAAAGATGTATGCATCATCTCAGATAGACATGCAGGACTCTATGAAGCCATGAATAACATCGGAAGAGGTTGGGAGTGGAGGTGGTGCATGCGACACTATGCAAGCAATTTGCAAAGGAAGACTAAAAGCAGAATTATGTATAAGCAACTATTTCGAGTCGGTAAGCCTTCTTCATTTAATTTTGTTATTTATTTTTAGGTAAGTTTGTCATGAATTTATCTAACCCGTGTGGTTGATTATTTTGTTAGCCGGAGAAAAACGCTTGGAGAAGTTCGATCGTCAAGTTGAGCAATTTAAGAAGGTGGCCACTGATAGAAATATTTCATGTGATAACTGGGTGGACCAACATCAGATTCGTTGGAGTTTAGCACATGATAACTTCAATGGTGGGCGTCGTTGGTCTATCCTGACATCCAACATGGCAGAAAGCATCAATGGTGTTTACAAAGGTATTCGTGCACTTCCTATAGCTTCTCTTGTGCAACATACCTATTGGCGATTGGTGGAGAAATTCGATAAGTACAGGTTGGAGACAGGAGCAGAAATTAGGAGTGGTCCTTCACAGTACTCCACCAAGTGCGAAGAACTGATGAAGCCGTGGTCACAAAAGGCAGTTGGGCATTCTGTGACAGCTCTTGATCGAAGTCAAGGCATCTATGTAGTTCAGACTCCCCCCAACAATTTAAACA